AACACGTTTTCACACTATTATACAGAAAATTATAGGTAAATCTGAAACATTTTATAATTATTAGCCGTTAAGTCAACAGTTTCATTAAACCATGGCCACGAATTGAGAACGTCGTAATATTTAATTCAATTAGAAAATGAATTCCCAATTGGTGGGAATAATTTATTAAAAGTTAGCAGCACTCATTTTAGTTGTGTAAACTTCTCCACACTTACTATTATATTTTAATCTTCTGGAAAAAAAAAAATCGTCGCATAACAACTTTCCGCAATTTTTGTCAAAGGCCCTTGAAACTAGGGTAAATCGCGGGCTAATCGAGCATTTTTGCACAAACTTTGCACAGTATAAAACAATGACAGTACTAAATAAACACCAACTTTTACAGTTAAAATAAAAACTAATAGAAAATCGGTACTCACATTATTCTTGCCATCCATGTCGTCCATCTCATTAGAGCGTGTATGATCCAATCTGGCAGGTGGCGATGTCACAAAAAACTAGGGTCCTAAAGATGCGGTCCTAAAAATACAATCCTGAAAGTGCAGCTACTCCAGTTGTGCAGGATCACCCTTCTTACCAGGATGAGCGAACCCATGCAGGGTGAAACGCAAACAGAGAGGGAGGAGGGAGCTTGCTGGTGCAGGGTATATACAGACCTTCTTAAGTTGAATGTAATACTTTTTACTACCTTTTTTAATACCTTCAAAAAAATGTAATACCGGCACGACTGCAACTGTTGTGGCGTAAATGAAATATCTTTCCAAATATAATAACATGTTGCAGATGACATACACATTTAAGTAAAAAAGAGGGATTAATCAAGATGTCACAATGGGCTTTTGTTCATAGTTTTTAATCACTGTCATATATGTCTTCTAAGAACAGGTCAGTACGGTTACGGTTGTTTCTCCACTGAGCCTGGAACAGCACAGCATGATTGAAAACCGTTCTCGGCATGCTTAGACAGTAATGCTGAAATGTGTCAATAGATTCAGCCTGATCTTAGGAGGAAATGTAAGTATTTTACGTTTTTTCAGTTTAGTGACTTATTCGTACAAATTTGTACGAGGTCAGTTGTACAAAAATGTACGATTTTAAAAAGGAGGCATGGCACCCAACCCCACCCCTAACCCCAACTGTCATTGGGTGATAAGCAAATTGTACTAAATTGTACGAATTAGATTGTATGAATTCAAATGAATTAGCCACTAAATCAAAAATGTATGAATTGCCGTGAGATTGCATTGGATAGATTCTCTGTGTCAGGGCTCGAAATTCGCTTTTTTACTTGATAGGACTTCAAATATTTAGGAGAACCAGAAAAAAATCAGAAGCACCCACCAAAAATGAATGAGCACCACTGCAAATTGTATATTAAAGAATTTATTGTATTTGAAAACAACTTCAATTAGGACTAACAAAAAACTAGAAGCAACTGTCTAAATAATTCTGAAATGACATTGATATTTGTGCAATAATTCCTAATGTCTAATAATTATAAAATGTTAATAATGACGAAAATGACAATAATACTAACAATTAATTACATTTCTCATTATCACGCTGCCTCAAATGTGCTTAAATGTCAGTTATGTGCTATAAAAGGTCCCACTGTTACATTATAAAAAATACATTTATGGCTTGCATTTAACAAAAATGAAGCATTGCAGTAAAAAAATATATATTTTGCACTATTGTTTTTATTTGCATGTCAATTATTAAATAATATTTCTGCTACAAAACAAACAAAAGATTATAATGAATCTGAAAGCTTCAAATCAGTCATCGTTAATTAAATAGAAAAATAATACACATCTCCGGAAAAAATGAACAAAAGAAAGGTAGAAAAGTCTCACTTCTGCCACTCTTTAAGTTTTGGTATCGGTTTGTGTCATTTTAAATGCTCAGTCCTCAGGCCCAATATATGAGTGGGATGATGACCATCGGTGCAATACCGTTCTTTGTTATGAGCCGCAGTTTCAGTTTAAAATTAGTAAAGGCGAGCTTTTTTGGCAATGATGTGTACAGTGTTAGATTTTACATTTACTGCTTATTTGCGCTAATCACGCAGTGAATGCAATGCACTTGTTTGATCTCAACTGGCAGATCAACCATCACCACATGATCACCATTATCGGTGCCATTATTTGTAACTTTAGATGGGATTTGCAAACCTGTTTACTTTTCACTCTTCAGCCGTTTGCATTTCCAGCAGTCAGAAAAGATCCCTGTCATCTGACAGCGGAAAGCATTGAGTGATTGATAGTTAATATGAACCAATATAGAATCAGGAAAGACAGATTCAGCATTTTTTTTTAGAAAAAATCAAAACAGGTCGCGCCTTTATATACAGTCGCTCAAATGCTCCCAAATATAATATGAGGGTGCATAGACTAAATGTCAGGTGTATATGGAACTAAAATGGTCACAATTTCAAGCACTGGTGTGTTGACCTGGTGTGTAAGATCACCTTACATGATATCGCTCAGATCCTACTCTCAACATAATAAATCATAATAAATCCACTCAAATTTTAGAATTAAGACCTCCACTTAAAACAAATTGAAAATTTATCTAAAAAATTGGGTTCGAAAATTTAATACCTTGTCAGATGACGTTTATTTCTGCTCAATGCCCTTAATGTTAGGTAATTTGATTTACTACCTTTTACAACAACCTGAGAAGGGCGAAAGGGCCAAAAAGCAAAAATGAAATCCAAATAAAACAACATCAAAAACTGGCATTGAAGTCTAAAACGGTAGAGAGACAAGACAGCACAAAATTAATAAAACGAAGCACAAGGTAAACACACACAAAGATTAAGGTACAAGAAAATGAGAATGAGAGGAATAAATATGGAGACTAATGAAGAGAAACTAAAGAAATGAAAAGATAATGATCTAACAAGTAGAATGAGTTGGTGGGGTGAGACAGTGGAGCACATGGTAAGCTGACAAAGCAATGCCATGTGCGCTGAGAAAACAAAACAAATGAAAGTGATGACAACATGCATTGTTTTAAAAAAGTTTTTACCTCATTGAGGTGCAGTTAATCACATATTGTTGGAACAGATGTTTTGATCCCAGTTTCTTTGCAAACCCTTTCTTGTGGACATAGTAATACGCATTAATACTGAGTCATAGTAATACACCTTTGTCGATTAATATGGTGGGCAGGGAAAACCGCACAAGTCATTATGGGTTCAGCCCCAAAATCGCAGGGATATGGATTCAGCTTTAACATTAGAAGGAAGATGTGTTTATATCAATCCAATATGACTGTGTACACACTACAACTTCAAATCAGAAAAAGCTGGAATAGTATGGAAAAAGCAAATATAAAAGAAAGTAGGGATTTCCAAATTTACTTTGACTTGTATTTCATTGCAGACAATGCCAACACAACATATTTCATGTTTTGTCCTTCCAATTTTATTTAATTTGTAAATATACATCCTTTCCTGTCATTCAGACCTGCAACACATTACAAAAAAAAATTTGGACAGAAGCAGTTTAGGGCCAGTAATCAGGTAAATTGGTTGAATAATGATGTGATTGTAATTATGATTTGGTACAAAATCAGCATCCAAGAAAGGTTTATTCCTTTAGGAGCAAAGATGGGCCGAGGATCGCCAGTTTTCCAACAAATAGATGAGAAATTTATTAAAAATTTAAAAAAAAAATTTCTCACAGAAGTGCACAAGAAGTGCGCAAGCCTAAGCAGAAATACCATGATCTCCAATGCATCAAGAACTGCATCAAGATACGCCATTGATCAATATACAATATTATCACATGGGCTCAAGACTACTTTGGCAAACCTTTGTCAAGTACCGCTATACAGTATGTAGTTACAGCAACAAATGCTAGTGAAAACTGTACTGCCAAAATGAACCCCTATGATAACAGTGTGCAGAAGTGCTGTCACGCTCTTTGGACTTAGGCATCTGAGATGAACCTTCACATAGTGGAAATGTGTACTATGGTCAGATGAATCAGTATTTTAGGATTTTTTTTTTTTTTTTTTTAGGGAGAAATGGATGTTGTGCTCCAACTGTCTCTTTTCCTGGCCTGTTATTTTCCTGCTCTGCACTTTCCTGCTCTGCTCCTCTCCTGATCTGGAGTCTATCTTCTCTGCATCTTTGAGGCCTACTTACTCTCTTTATCTCTCCCACCCTGCCATTTCTCCTTCTAACTCTGATAACTTTAGTTTTACATTTAAGCTGGGTATCATATGTTTTTATAATTTCATGTTTTATCATTTTTTGAAGTTATTTGCAACTAATACAGTTTTTAACCATAGCAAGTTGTTGCCAATAAATCATTTCATTATACAGTTTTTTTGTGAATTACTTTTGGTTTAACATAAACACATACTTGCTCCATATTACAATACAATACAATCCTGTAATATCAACGCTGTCCCACATTTTTAACTATTACTACTGCCCTTATTTCTATTTTTGGTATAAGATTGCAGATGGATGGTTTGACTAGAAATGTACAGTTTTTTACCAAACTGATAACTTTTTAGTCATTCAGCAAGGCTATAGTTCGAACTGCTGTCGTTAATAACCCATTCTGACCAATAATATCTGGATGCAGCCTTTATGATGCAAGCTGAGCTTCCATCACTCAGTGATGCATTGTCAGACACAATGCACTCAATGGAGTGAGTGATGACACTGTGACGGGTAGGGTTAGGGGTGGGGTTGAGTGAGCACATTAAAAAGCATTGGATGCAGCTCAGTTTGCACTGCACTAAGTCTGCATCCAGACCCCTCTCATTCTGACACACATGAAACACTTCTTTACTTGATGTCTTCAGTCCCTAAATATCTTTTGTGTTTTATGAAAAGGAATGGCAGCATTACAAAGTGGTAAATGCTTTAATGTTCAAACCTTTTTTGAAAAATGTTGTAAGAACCAAAATTGGAATTTGTTTATTTAAATAATAATAATAATAATAAACCCACAAGAAACACATTAAATAATGTGCTGTTGTATTGTTAGAAATGAATTACAAGTCAAAGTAAATTTAGAATTTTTGGATTTAGGGTTGTATACACAGGTCTGTCAACAGAGATTACTTTTGCATAAAATGTTACTTAATATGTTACTATATACATAATAACATAAAACAAAGATATGAAACACTCTCACTGTCAAACTCTGTCTCTTTTTGTTGAGTGTTAGCTTTAAGTAAAAATTAGTCATTATAAAAAAGTTTTTGTTATTGGAAATAACAAGCAACAATCTCTTCAAACATGTACAACTAGTGCACTACATGTAGCTCAACAACAATAACTACAATTAATATTTGACATATCAATTGTGTTCTCTTGAGGACACATAATAGATTCATAAGAACAAACATTGCCTGGTAGGTTTACAAATGCAAATATATATTTTTAACAACTATAGATCCAGACACAGATCAGCAGCTAATGCTGTAATGATTTTGCCATGGCATGGATAACCACATGACATTGAATTGATTCATGAATGTATGTGTGCTGCACTTCTGAAACATTTGTTAATAACTGATAACATTTTACAAATACTGATAACCAGGCATGGCAATGGTGGGCTTTGCGTGATTGAGCACCTGCTCTTTTTTTCTTGTTGGAGTGAAAGTGCCCCATGATCCTGAAAGGAGGATAAGATAAATGTTAATGTGTGACCAAAATCCTTCTAGATCTATTGCTAGAACTAAAATAACTATTTGCAGTTGTCAAGTTAGTATATCTCCTGACTTTTGACCAGGAAGTATGAAACTGCTTTACAGACACACCTCTTTACACGTGACTCCAAAAGCAATTTTAGCATCTAGGAAAGTGAAACTTATGTGACTCCAAAAGGAGGAAGCTATTTTAGCATCTGGGAAAGTGAAACTTATGCTTAGTTTATATGTTTTGTCTTTGTGTGCCTCTATATTCGTTCAGTAAAATGGCAGAGGTGAGAATTTCAGTGGATCAGATTGAGTTTATGTGTCCAGTGTGTTTGGATCTCCTAAAGGATCCGGTGACCCTCCACTGCGGACACAGCTATTGTAAGAGCTGTATTACAGACTTCTGGGATCAGGAGTATGAGAAGAGAATCTACAGCTGCCCTCAGTGTAGACAGAGCTTCACTCCAAGACCTGCTTTAGCTAAAAACACCATGCTGGCTGAAGTGGTGGAGAAGCTCAAAAAGACTAAACCTCCTGCTGACTGTTGTGCTGGAGCTGGAGATGTGCAGTGTGATGCCTGTACTGGAACAAAATACAAAGCCGTCAAGTCCTGTCTGCAGTGTCAAGAATCTTACTGTCAAACTCATTTTGAGCGTCATGAGGAGTTTCACTCTCGTAAACCACACAAAGTGATTGATGCAACTGGACAACTGCGGGACATGATCTGCCAGAAACATGGGAAAGAGCTGGAAATCTACTGTATTACTGACCAACAATGCATCTGTGAGCTGTGTAAGGAGTATGAACATAAAAACCACGCAACTGTATCAACAGCAGAACAGATGACAGAGAAACAGGTACGAGCTTGAAGAGATTGTTCACCTAAAAACAACAATCATTCATCATTCACTGCTTGGTCTTTCTTTCTTTTGTGAAATTTAAAAATATGATCTCCCATATATATATATATATATATATATATATATATATATATATATATATATATATATATATATATATATATATATATATAAAACATTACATTTAAACTGGGTACAATTAACATAATATTTCATGTTTTATCATTTTTACAGTTATTCATATCTAATTCAGTTGAAACAATAGCAAGTTATTGTCTTTAAATCATTTCATTTTCAAGTATTTGTGAATTACTTTTGATTTAAAATCAACATTAAATTGCTCCATATCACAATACAATACAATCACATAATAGCAACACTCTCATACATTTTAGCTATTATAACTGCCCCTATTTCAGTTTTTGGTATAAGAATGCAGAAGGATGGTTTGAATAGAAATGAACAGTTTCCCTTCAAGAGGGGTACTTAAATGCTATGTGGAAAACTTCCACTATGAGGATTTCGACATCCAATCATCTGAAAGAGTAAAAAAAAACAGGCCAATTAAATGCCAATATGTTGGCGATGTCAGCGTGCACAGCTGGCGTCAACATCCATTTTGCTTTCAGAGTCTTTCATGAAGCTTTTGAGAGAGTCTTTGAGGGTATCTCCAACCTGTTTCTACAGAGGAAAATCGAGAAGCAGATTTTCCTAGTCCAGAGTGCGTATACGCAGTGGCGTACCAATGTAAGCCTAGTTCCTAAGGGAGTTATTGGAAATGCTATGTTCCTTCACCACAACGATTGTCACTTAGCTTTTGAGCATTAAAATCTTTTCAGCTAGAAAATTATGTCTAGCATGGCACGAGCTGCGTCTTTATAGCAAGTCTAATTGTCATTGATACCAACTGTGCCCGCTGACTCGGCCAACTCATTGGCATTTCATTGGCCCATTTTTATACTCTTTCAGATGATTGGATTCTGACGAAATACCCATGGTGCAAGTTTTCCGCATAGCATTTCCATTACCCCCTCGGGGAATGAGGGTTACAACAGTAACCAGAGTGTTTTTCACCAATCATTCTGATAACTTTTAGTCATTTGACAAAACTACAGTTCAAACCGCTTGTGTTAAAAATCTATTCTTACGACACAAAAATGCCAGCTGACCCATCAAACCAGAGACCTTCTCACTATGAGGTTGACTACGCTACCCACTGCGCCGCTGATTAGAAGCGTTACCCCTACTATCTCCCGCTTAAATAGACTTGTCAAGACTACTTGCTGCAAAACATTAAAATCAGACACAAAACCTTTCAGAGCCGCAATAGATTATTAAGTGGTTAATTAAATGCAAAGTTGACAAAAAGGAAAACTGCTGAATTGGCTTGATGGAGCAGCTCAGTTCTCAAACAAACTGACAAAATGTTGATTAATTTTAATTAGAAAATAGTGTTCATTATGTAAAGAAATGTGTTGTTTTGAATAGGGTTGAGCCGATAGACGATGCCATCGTCCATCGCCGATGGCCAATAGACAACACGATGCTGAGCCGGTATCGCCGATCCTCAGCCCCACCACCATCGCAAACCTGCTTGTGAAAAATTCACACTTAGACCCCATTTACACTAATACGTCTTACAGTGTTAAAATGGAATTTTAGAACAAAAATGATCCACATCCACACTGTTTTACTTAGCATTTCTAAACAGCCGTCCGTCCGCTGAAAACGCACATCACGTGACCACACACAAACACAGCCAGCCAGCCAGTAACACACTGTCATGCGCTCCTCTGAGCTCCAGAAAGCAGTGCACGTCGGACAGTTTATCAAGGATGTACCGATGCATCACGTCTCACTAGTTGTTAAACGAGATATTCAGACATCCAAAGTCTCCCGGAAGTTCCGCGAGTCTCTATGCATTTGTGGGATAATCTCCCGGAAATCATACATCTCCCTCCCGATCCTCAAATATGTTGTGCACCTTTCTCACCCCCGGATCCCCCCTCGCCCTTCAGAAACCCCACGCACCCTTCTTATCTTATTAGTTTGTATTTATAATGTTGAAAAATAAATATAGCAGCTAAATTATCTAATTTTCCCAAGCAATCCTTCTTGCCTGATCCCTATTATCTGATCACAAAAATTCTTCTCCTCACAAATACTTTTATATGGAATATCCAAAATATTTTATAAGAAATCAAATATCTTTTTTATTTCTAATGCTGGTTTGGAGCAAATGTTCTGCTTAGTTATTTATTGCAAATGACATTTGTTAAATTATGAAGAATTTCTTAATTGATTAAATATTCCCATCACCCCTAAATAATGTGCTATTGTTTTTGATGACATACCATCTAGAGTTATAAGATTATTTCAAGATATCCCCTATCCCACGCTCCACAGCTCCATCCTTGCTCTTTACCACCTGACCTTTCATCCCTGCCATGTTCCACCTCTGCTCCTCTCAAACTACTAAGATATCCACACCGACAGTGCTATTTTTATTTTTTTTTGGATTTATTTTATTAGCTTCCTTTAAGAGAGTGATACGCAACAATAACTTATTTTGAAAAAGCATTGTATGACCCTTAAAATAGAATAAGAAAAATATTTAACCAAAACCATTTTGAACCATCGCTAGAACTAAAATAAATAGTGATTATTAAACTAGAACATCTCTTGACTTTTGACCAGGAAGTATGCTTCAACAGCCTCAAAACAAACCATAGGCGACAGTAACAATGAGACAAAACCAACTAGTAACTATTAAATGCTAGTTTTGTGACAGTAGATTGCCGTCATTTATGTTTTCTCTAGCAAGAGCTGAAGGAGAGGCAGGTAAAGCTTCAGCAGAGAGAGAAAGCTCTTCGGAAACTGAAAAATGCAGTGGAGTCTCAAAAGGTGAGTGGAGAAGAGGAGAGGTTTTTCCTCAGTCTCAGTTTGACTTTCCTCAAGTCCTCGAGCTCTTTGATTCTTACTGAAGCTTACACTGTCTCTAATGTGTGATTGTGATTTGTTTATCAGCGATCTGCACAGACAGCAGTGGAGGACACTGAGAAGATCTTTACTGAGCTCATCCGCTCCATTCAGAAAAAACGTACTGAGCTCACACAGGTAATCAGTTCTGCAGAAAAGACTGCAGTGAGTCAAGCTGAAGAACACATGGAGTATCTGGAGCAAGAGATTGAAGATCTGAGGAGGAGAAACGCTGAGCTGGAGCAGCTTTCACAAACACAGGAACATGTTAATTTCCTGCAGGTAACAGAGATTGAGAAGAACAGCATCTTAGGGAAGTTGAGCATAATACTGCAGTAAAAGCGGGACAAATAGAGAAAAGTTCAGCAGAAAAAAAAAATCAGCAGCTGATTTCTGTCAGGATTTGATTATTGTGTGAAGTGAAGGTGATGAGGTGGATTTGTGTTTTCTGCAGAGATTTCAGTCTCTCCCAGCTCCTCTTGAATCTACAGATGGTTACTTCAGTTCTTTCTTGTGTTTTGATGCTATGAAAGAATCTGTCCATGAGCTGAAGAGCAAACTGGAGAATTTGTGCAAAGAGGAGATCAAGATGATCTTAGACAGAGGTAAAGTCCTGGAGATTCATCTCCTCTTAAAAATGGTGAAATAAAATCAAATATGGAATGAAATACTGAATGAAATACGGTTAATGTGTTTTGATTTCCACAGTCACCAGCTTTGTTCCCAAGACCAGGAATGACTTCCTACAGTGTAAGTGAATAAAATAATAATAATAAAAAACAAGCAGAAAACTCAACTGTGGAACATGAAAAGATGACGAAGATAAAGATATAGAAGATAGAGGAGTTTAATAAATGTTGATTAATGTTAAGAATGATGGCTAAGTGGACTTGATTTGAAAAAGCAAAATAGTAATAAAATGATTAGCAAAAAATTATATTAAGAATTAAAACGAGATTCTTGTTTCATTACATTGAATAATCTTATGATATAAAGTCAAGAAATAGCATGATATTATTTGCCAGACAGTAAAATAACAAAGCTCAAAAACATATTTAATGTATACAACAACATTTCAACTGTAGCACAGTAGAAGACAAATACAAACAAAACAAAAATTGCCTCAAGCCATTAACTGGTTAGTAAGAAGAACAGAGTTCATCCTGACAACAGCCCATATGCCTTCAGTGGTTCAATCCCCCTTAATACTGACATTGGGGAACAACAAAGAACAGAGGTAGCAACACATCGTCACTTTAGAATTATTAGATTCTATCTGACATTTGTGTCAAATTATTCATATATTCTTATTAAATAACAACTTATTAATAGGATGTGATTTTTTTAAATAAGTTGTTTACATTTTAAGAATTTTGATTAAAAAAAAGTAAAAAAAAAAAAAAGGTCGAACCCTAGCCTAAAGAAACACATAATCAAAGTTGACTAAATAATGCTACGCTACACAAAATTGAGAGGAAACCTGAAAAGATGTAAAAAGACATGTAAATGTGATGCATTTGAAGCATTTTTTTGACATTGAGATGAAATGTTACATTTTACAATGTTGAAAAAGAAAGTTATTAAATAATGTCATTTTTTTTATTTGTGCATATATAGTCAGTGAAACACTTTTCAGTGTTTATTAAACTCATTTGCTCATTGTGTGTTTTCTTTTAAAGTCTTTAAATTCGATATTAAGCCTTGAGGGGCAAATAATTAATTTAATTCATGGGGCAAATACTTCAATAAATATAATTCAAAAGTTTATATTAAGCATAAAATTCAATAAGCATAAAATCAATAGTTAATATAAAGCATGCAATTCAATAAATATGACCATGTTAATTCCATAAAATTAACAGCGGCACTGGATAAAATATTTAACATAGCCTTGTGTGCTAAATTTCAACAAGAACAAATATTCACCCTAAAACATTAAGTAAATGTTATAGAAAGCAAAAAAGTAACTTTCATTTAACATTCATTTACATTTTTTTATGTATTTCTTGATAAGTAGTCCTTCAGTTAATGAGCTGCCAGAGAGAACCTTATAATTCCAAGAGGAAAATAGAATAAGAAGGTTCTATCTGCATTTGCCCTGTTTCTTTTACCCCAATTTGCAAATGTGAGAAAATTTTTGATTTATATTGAGCATACATTTCAGAATTAAATCATTCAGAACACAGATAGAAACTTATAATTCTAAGGTGATGACATGTTACTAAGAGCTATTAGATTTTCGAGGGTCATTTACCTGCACATGCACTCTCTCTTTCTCTTGCTCCATGAATTAACATAAAATCTAGGTGGAGATGGACAATTATGGGAAATCTGTCTATATATAAATATTAGTGGTGGGCCATTATTGGCGTTAACGTGCTGCGTTACTTTTATCGCACGCTAAAAAAATATCGCCATTGATCTATTCTCAAAGTTAAGTTGGGAGCTAGGTCTATTCTACGCAAGCTGTGATGACTTTCACCTTGATATTTTAGCACAGATGTATTCCTGACTGATGAGCCGTCTGACAAAAAAGTGCCCTTCTGAATCAAATCAGCAGGATGCCTGACTTTAACTGGAGTTCAGCAGTTTAACTTTAACTCACGAAAATGTAGTTCATAACGGTGACAAACTGAGGTGTTAGACGCAAATAAGGAGTAAGGATTGGTGAGAGTGTTATGGAATTTAATAATGCACGCTAAATGGAAAGAAAAAACTTCCACATTTCGCGATGTATATATATATATATATATATATATATATATATATTTATTATTATTATATATATAATAATATTTATTATTATTATTATATATATATATATATATATATATAAATACAGAGTTGAAGTCTGAATTATTAGTCCCCCTGTTTATTTTTTCCCCAGTTTCTGTTTAACGGAGAGAAGATTTTTTTTCAACACATTTCTAAACATAATAGTTTTTATAACTCATCTCTGTTAACTGATTCATTTTATCTTTGTCATGATGACAGCACATAATATTTTACTAGATATTTTTCAAGACACTTCTATACAGCTTAAAGTGACATTTAAATGCTTAACTAGGTTAATTAGGTCAACTAGGCAGGTTAGGGTAATTAGGCAAGTTATTGTATAACGATGGTTTGTTCTGTAGACTATCAGAAAAAAAAAATTGCCTAAAGGGGCTAATAATTTTGTCCTAATTATTATTTGTCCTAAAATTAAAACTGCTTTTATTCTAGTTGAAATAGTACAAATAAGACTTTCTCAAGAAGAAAAAATATTATCAGACATACTGTGAAAATTCCCTTGCTCTGTTAAACATTGTTTGGGAAAAATAAAAATAAAAAACAGATGGGGGCTGATAATTATATATATATATATATATATATATATATATATATATATATATATATATATATATATATATATATATATATATATATATATATATATATATATATATATATATATATATATATATATATACTTTTTTTTTTCAGCTTAGTCCCTTTATTTATGAGGAGTTGCCACAGCGGAATGAACCGCCAACTTATGCAGCATTTGTTTTACATAGCAGATGCCCTTGCAGCTGCATCAAATATAAAAAATAGCAAAAGAAACATAGGACTCTAATTACATAGAAATCCACAAAAGTGTACATTTTCAAATGAACAATGCCAAAGGATAAAAAAAAAATCAAGCAGATTCATCATTGCTGATTCTGATATTTTCTCTCCTGCAGATTCCATTAAGCTCACTCTGGATTTACACACAGCTCACAAATGTCTGTCTAAGAAAAGAAAAGTTGTTACTTGTACTAAAAAAGAGCAGCCATATCCTGATCATCCAGACAGATTTCATGACTGGCCTCAGGTTTTGTGTACAGAGAGAGTGCGGGGACGCCGTTACTGGGAGGTGGAGTGGAGTGGAGATAAAGGTGTATGTATATCAGCATCTTATAAGAGCATCAGCAGGACGGGAACTGGTAATGAGTGTGCATTTGGAGGAAATGACCATTCCTGGAGTTTGTTCTGTTCTCCATTAAGATATTTATTTTGGCACAATAATATTCAGTCTGATCTAACTGTAAAGCCTAACAGCCATAAAATAGGAGTATATGTGGATGTAGGAGCGGGAACTCTGTCCTTCTACAACGTGTCTGACGAAATGAGCCTGATTCACACATTCCAGACGACATTCACCCAGCCGCTGTTCCCTGGGTTTACTGTTGGCTTTGGATCATCAGTGAAACTGAAACATAGATAGATTGTAGCATAAATTATAGAGTGATTTTATTTAAAATCCTCTAAGCTGAATGAAGAATCAGTAATGGGGAGATTTTTTTTTTTGCCTCTTTTCTCTTACATTAATGCTACAGAACATCTACAACTGTGACTAAAATAACACATCTGAATAAATGTGAATCAAGTTCTCATGTGAGATTGCAGTGTGGATCTAGAACTGTGTTTTTCTCAAGATGTTTTCTTTTTGTGGAAATGACATTCATTTAGTTTTATTATAATGACTTAAATCTTGTTGAATGAATGCATTCGTAGTCCTTTTAAAATGTACAGTTGAAGTCAGAATTATTAGCCCTCCTGTCAGTAAATAATATTTGACCAGATATTTTTCAAGACACTTCTATACAGCTTAAAGTGACATTTAAAGGCTTAACTAGGTTAATTAGGTTAACTAGGCAAGTTAGGGTAATTATGCAAGTTTTGTTTGGTTTGTTCTTTAGACAGTCGAAAATAAATATAGCTTAAAAACTAAATACTGCTTTTATTCTAGCTGAAATAAAACAAACAAGACTTTCTCCAGAAAAAAAAATATTATCAGACATGCTGTGAATATTTAATTGCTCTGTTAAACATCATTTAGGAAATATTTAAAAAATCAAAAAATCAGAAGGGGGCTAATGATTCTGACTTCAACTGTAAGGGCTTTACAATCTAATGGTCATTATTATTACCTTTAATTGACGTGACCGTTGAAATGGTCAAATACAATTCATTATTAAGTATTTTTTGAAATTATTTATTAAACAAAGTAACATAAATCTATTTCATTATTACACTGAGAAGAATCCAGTGATCACATACATGATTTGTTAAATATATTCATGAGATTTATCTGTTTATTTGATGTTTGCAAACCGTACGAAATATATTTCTCCAATTTTAAATGCATTTAAAAATATTTAAATGAGTGTACATTTCATTTTCAATTATTTACATTTGATTTAATTTTATTTCTTTAAACTCTATGATGACAGGACTTGTGTCATCGACTCGGTCCCAGTCATTCCCCTCTCTGGCCAGCAGAGGTCATCATCACCGGATTTCTAGACATTACATCAGCCACTTAAACTGATAAGCACACACACCTGTTCCTCATCCCGATAACGACCCACACTCACCTATTTAAGCCACACTCTCACTACAGTTCAGTGCGAAGTCTTGTTCTGCCACGGCTAACACTACTGAACGGTTCTTGATCATTGCCTGCTTTCCTGTTGACAACTTTGGACTGTATTCTCGACTTTGTTATGCCTGCCCTGAACTCTAGCCTGCATCCTGACTTTGATCTTCGCTGCCTGAGTTTGACCCATGCCTGAATATTCACCCTGTGTTTGCCAGTCACCAGCCCTTTGACTAACTACTACTGTGTTTTATGTGAGTTTGCACATGCTTAACATCTGTGTGCTGTTTGTTATTAAACTCTGTTATAATAAATATACTGCAAATGGATCCCTCTGTGTCAGACTGTTCGTTACAACTAGCGAGATCTGTCATTAAAAATGTTTCATTGAGGATTTTTTAGAAGTTTAATATTTTTGACTCTGAACATTGAATAACAAATGACTTTTTGTAAAGCTTCTGGGAACTCAATTGAATAAACAAGGAAATTGCAAACTTTATTTTTTCCTTTTTTTTTTTATTAGTTTATGCTTGTTTTGGAAAGACATTTTAGTAAAAATACTGTAATACATTAAGCCACTGTAGAAATTTGTGTGTGAAAGATAATACATGTGTGACCAGATGACTGTTATCAGTGAAAACGAGTTAGCGCAGGGTAAATGAAGTGACTTACAATCAGGAGAACAATTAAAGTTTTTATACAAGTTGGTATAACAAGATACAAGTATTCTTAATCGTAAATGTAAACAAGGAGGGAAAGTAAACAAAAGAATAAAAAAACAAACCACTAATGGCCACTGGTTCCTCAGGAAGTGAGGACAGATGTGTCAACAATGTTCTCACCGCACTCAACTCACAGCAATCACACTGCAACCTAAAACACAAAATCAATAATGTGACCAAATCACCACACAATCCCAACCACCTTTTTTTCCAAGAGAACCCACTGGCCACTGATGGTATAAAGCAAATCCAAAATAGAACCTACAAAAGAAAGAAAAGTATAACAAAGGAAAGTACAAAATACAAACAGTTGTCAAACTAACAGCATAATAAACAACCCGCATTCAACAAAACATCAAAAAGAAAAAGATTCAATAACAAAACTATTATATTAGATTTTAAAGTAAACAGCAACTGTACATCCCTAAAAAAGGAAAACAGAGTTCATTACACAGGAGCTCAGAATATAAAAATCACAAACAGAATAAAACATCCTTTAAATAAAACACACATTAAAATAGAAATAAAAACTCTTTTTAGTTTTAAACAATACCTCTAAGATCCATAATTTTCCATTCTGACACTCAGGCAACAGTCAGTAGGCAATGATCCCATAATAGCACTAAAATAAAAATGATAACATCATTAAGACACAATCCTAAAAATAGTCTATTAAAATCATAAAACCACTACATCTTTAAATAAGTTTGCATTAAAGATCTGGCAGCATTAATCCCGTTTGCTTATCACGTGAAGTGTTGACTCTACAATGTCAGTTTATGCATGCCTTAAAAACAGTAAACTCGGTGAGAAAGAGAGAGAGAGAGCGCACATCATACAAATAAACTCACTACCTAACGGCCATTACGTGCCACAACTAGAATGCAAAACCGAGAGGCAAAAGGGCATACAAACTTTATGACTCACTTTTATAGTGCTGAGCTCTGTACAACCTGTTGTTAATTTACGCCTGCAACCAGGAAATAAATTGTCTGCACGTAAACAACAACACTTCCTTACATGGCACTAAGCCTGCTGGGTCTTGTAGTGCCCACATCGTCTCTTTACACATGTAAGGGATAAAGTACATCAAGAAGGGTTGTTATTACCCAGAATAAAACCTCACAGACTCATCGGCAACCTGATGCGAAGCAGAGTGATGTTGTATAAGCCTGAAGGGCTTTATTCTGTGAAAACAACTGCCTAGATGTACTTTATCCTGCTTATTACACGGCTACTTACGACAAAACATACAAACAAGACATAAGCTATTCTACTGAGCTGTATTAGTTTATTAATTATTGACAGTAGCTAAAACAGCTGATGGTGTATACACTAAACCATGAATTATTTAGTCAGAAGATGGCGCCAAATTGTCAAAAATGCAAAGCTGACAGAAATAAATTGAGCTAAATGGAACCTACACTAACCTATCTATTATTCAGTGGCAAAACCCACCAAAAAGGTCAAAAACAGCAGTGACAGACAAGCAGATATTAATGTGGATGTATTGTAAGTCATGCTCGTATTAGCTAATCGGGAGGACCGGGAGAATTCCCGGTTGGCCGGTCTGTTTTTGGCTGTGAGGGCCGGTGTCCCTAGCTGCTTGCACTCTCAGCAGTTGCACTTTTTTCATTTATTTATTTATTTGACCATATCCTCACTCTTTTTATTCATTATTTTGCCACAGCTTCGCTCTTTTTATTTTTTGTCTCGCAGCCCCGTGAGCAAAACGCAGCCTGCAGGTTAATGATGACGTTACTATTATTCGACTCCAAACAGAGGCACCTTAGTGAATATAAGAATTCCAATAATTAATATTAATGAATATTACACCTTCTCAATGAAAATCAGATGATTCACAACAATAATAAATCTGACATAACTTGATCAGAAATCTAAAAAGGAAATAAAAAAAGATCAATAGAAAGTAAAACTGTGGTCTTGCAGATAACAATACTTAGTTTTTAATCCAAACGCACTAGCATAATAGCGCCATTGTGGTCCAGTGATCAGCACGTTGCATTACGATGCCACTGACTCGATTTTGAACCTCTCCTGAGTATGTTTTTTACTTTCATTTTTTATTTTAAGTGTTAAGACATATAATACTATTTGGCTTGTGTATGTATGTGTACATATTTTATTTTTTGTGTGACCACCATTACAAAGAACTGGATATCTATAAATAATTTTGCACAATATATATATATATATATATATATATATATATATATATATATATATATATATATATATATATATATTCAGATGTTGCAGGAAGAGACATTGTGATATTTGAATTTCTAAAGCAGCTGTTTACTTGAAAAAGATGTGTTAGTGTCATTGGAAACTGAACTGGAAATGGTTTTTGATATGGTTAGTCGTGAACTGAGGTGAGCCGGTCTAAGGCTTAAAACTCTAGGGCTGAAAAAGTGTCCCACTCCGGCCCTGCTGTAAGTGTGTAGATGTGAACGTATTCACTGACTTCAAGGTGAATTAAAGAACCTGGATGAGCCTGCGTAATTAGATTCAGTGGTTATGTTGGAATTACATACAATGGAGTTTTGCGACTGACCAATCAGAATCAAATATTCCAGCAGCAAAAACCTTAAGCTGTGTGCAATATAAAACTTGTATTGATCTCTGATGAGTCCACCTTCACTGTCTTTCCCACACCCAGAAGAGTTATGGTGTGGGGAAGCCCCAAAGAATTGTACCACCCAGACTGTTGCATGCCCTGAGGGAAGCATAGGGGTGCATCAGTGATGATTTGAACTGCAATATCATGTCATTCCCTAGGCCCAATGCTTGTGATAGATGGGCACATCACTGCCAAGGACTACCGAACCATTCTGGAGGACCATGTGCACCCAATGGAGTATTATGTTTAGCATAAAAGTGAAGTTGATTTGTCATGGCCTACACAGTCACCAGAACTCAATATTATTGAGCCATTTTGGGGTGTTATAGAGGTGTGAGTCAGGAAATGTTTTTTTCCACCTGCATCACATAGTGACCTGGCCACTATTCTGAAAGAAGAGTAGTTCAAGATCACTCTTGCCACTGTGCAGGACTTGTATCTGTCATTCCCAAGACAAATTGATGCCATATTAGCCACAAAAAGAGGCCCTACACTTTATTAATGAATTATTGTGGTCTAAAATCAGACATATCTGTTTCAATTTCTAACCCTTATAAATATTAAAGAACTATTTAAGTTATTGAATCCTTGTAGTATATGGCACCTTTAAAAACTAAACTTTAAACAATCATTCTGTAAACTTTGCTGAAAGA